GATCTCCTCTCTAGAAGAAATGACGCAAAGCAACAAACTACATGGTCACTGTTGCTTTGGCCTGGTGCCCTATGGCACATGATAGGTTCTCACGAGATACCTGACATCAAGTCGTTTCAAGCAGATGTACAAAAGAAACCGGCTTCAATTTATAACTGACTTAGTAAGCTTACAGGTCAATTAATAATTTAGCCTTTAGGAAGGCTTTTGAAGAAAACCAAAGTGCACAGGCAGTGTATAAAATAGGGACCATATGTACATGTATTTGGGAGAAATATTAAGTTATAAGTAATTTGCAACTATTATCCATCACCAGTCTTTATCACCTCCCTTGTAGGGCAAATTGCACATCCCTCCACCCATCCACACCACCAAGGCTATGTCTATACATATAAAGACCACTGGCCACCAGCACCAACTCAGACGCCCCATGTTAGGGGTAAGATCAGTCACTCTGGCCTGTTTCTTAGGGCTTTTTTTCCCCTAAAGTTATTTCTTAAATACAGGGCCAGGAATACTCTCTTGCCCATTTAATATCTCTAAGACTCAAAGCAGGCAAAGGATCTAAGACACTTCTAGACCTCTGTGTCTATTCTGATAGTACCCAGCAGGTACTCTCTTGGTTAACTTCTAACTGAAGGTCTCAAAATAACTAACAAGCCCAAGTATTCCTAGGAGACTTCACTAGGTAAGTTTAAGTTATCATTAGCCTTAATTGTATTTTGCTCCTATAGTACAGTTAAGTGTGCCTAACTCATTTGTACGGACAGTGTCTGAAGCTTCGTGTAATACTGGGGACTGAACCCAGGACTTCACAAATGCTAGGCAGGTGGTCTACCACTGAGCTATATTCCTAGCCCTTTTAATTTTATTTTGAAATGAGGTCTCACTAAGTTGCCCACACTGGCCTTAAACTTGAGATCTTCCTGCCTCACCTGCTGAGTAACTGGGATTGAAGAAAGAGACAGTGATATACAGTAATAAATGTGGAGACTACAATTGAGCTAAGTTTTCGGCTATAAAGTCAGATTCTCCCAGAAATACTCTTTCCCTATGTCTTTAGAAAAGTTACTCTTCTTCAGATTTTCCCCTCTGTGGTTAGAGGAAATCATATCCCTAGGTCTCTTGCTTTTCTACTCAAATAAGCACATCGTACACATAACATAAAGAAAAAGGATTTTGGGATAGTTTTCCCTAAAAGTAGTTTGAAATACTGTACCTAAGCACTTTTGAGATTAATTCAAACCAAAAGGTAAAAAACCTAAACAATTCTGAATTTATAAACTATCCAGCTATCTTACCCCCGCTCTCACAGGGCAGGTATATGTTTGATAAGCATCAGTATAGACATTATCATAGTTCTGTGGTGCATGAAATTTCTCCTGGGCTACCAGGTGAAGGTGACTTTTCAATGGAAGATCTGTACAGAAAGTGAAGCCAGTCATAATGTGAAGTGGGGAACAGTCTTATCTTGAGTCTTATTCCCTAAGCTGGGAATGATTTTATTTGCAATCTGTGAGATATAGAAAATGACCCAGTTATTTACTACAAATTATCAATATTCCTGTGTTGTGTGTCCGGCCTCACTGTTTTTGTATCAAAACCTGAAGCCATCTGGCTATATACTGTTCTCCTGCTCTTAGGGCCATGCTGTCCTGCATGCTCTACTCAGACTGCTAGTTATGTTAAGGTCTTCAATTAGCAGTTAAGCGAGAGAGCACCTGCTGGGTGTGGTGAGAACAGTGTGCACAGCATGGCCTCAGTTTTATCCTAGCCATCTACCCCTCTGGGAACAGAAGGAGCTTGTAATGACATTTCTATTCTCCTAGACCTGTTAGAAAACTACTTAAGGGGAGTCAAATCATCGTTATTTAATTTTATAAGAACCAGAAATACTTTGATCAGTTCTACATCTGTTTTAAGAAGGGAAGCTGCCGCTTTGGTAACAATGCTTCCTGCTTAAACATGCAGTTTGTTGTGCTGAATTCTCAGCCTCTGGCAGCTCTGCTGAGCTTGGCCTTTGTGCTTGCCTTAGGTCAACTTCAGGAATAAAGGCGAAGAATCAACTGACACGGGATAAGCCCTAGGGGTAAGTGCTACATGAAGTGGGCAAGAGGAAGATTGTGGGCGGAAAGCTTCTCCACACTTTGAGAAGCTGTTGCTGCCTATGGAAGTTTGGCTGATGACCCTTTTTTAAGGGGGCCATCTGCCTTCCTTGACACGTTTTCTTGGATTTAGAGAGATAAGGATTAGCACTCTCATACTTTCTCTTGGCTTCACCTGGCTAAACCAGGTGTCTTTTCTTTTAGCCTTTCAGTATCCTATCTTAGGATCTATTATTATTTCTTGCTATATCTACCCACTCTCCATGAAAAGATAAGTGTCTTTGTATTCTTTTGCTGATTGCCAGCTATATCTGGATAGCTCTCCCAAAACTGTGGTTCTTCTATACTTTGACCTTTATCAGTACAGTACTTCAGATCTTAATGTGTACCTAGACTGGAAGAAAAGGTCCTAGAGCCCCTAAGGAATGTGCCATCAGGAACCGTCACTCCTGTGGTTAGCCTCACCAAGCCACTCACCACAGTCTTAGTGCACACCTGCCCTGTCCTTCAGTATTTTGGAGCAGGGCAGTTTGTTGGGGGAGGGGAGAGCTGGCAAGCATGGACAGGCACAGAAGACCAAACCCAGGAATTCAGCCCACATGTCCTGGGACTTTGAACTTAAGAAAGGTGCCAGTATGGGTTGGCTTATGGTTAATACCTGCCTCCCTCAGCCAACTCCACATGTGCTCCAGTTCAAAAAGACACTACATCCCTTTCAGTGACAAATTCAGGTTTGTGTGGGCTTCTCTCTTTCCAGTTCAGGGCAGGTCTCCTCTTTCACATGTGACAATGGGGGGTAAAGAAAAGTGATCCTCACCAATCAGGACTTTGACTAACCAACAGTTTTGGCCTGTTCTCATTCTACAGGAAAACGTTAGCCTCGAATGGAAAACTATTCTTAAATTCAAAAATTACGAAAGAATATGCAGCAAAAGTGGTCGGGGAGGGGGGACCTCCCTGGATAGCTGACAACACATTTTATTGCATCTTAGTGCTTAGAAATGTTGCAAAAATTGTTAATGTAAGTGGTGGCACCATCCCGAGAGATTGTTTAGTAAGTTAGTATTACTTATCTCCATTAATGATTAATAGTAACACTAAAAACTCTTGTAAGCAGAGCTTTTCTGGGCTCTTAGGTTTTTACTCGCCGCATTCCATCTTCTCCCCACACTTTTCTCTTTCAGAGTCCAGGCAGGAGAAAGTGTCGGTGGGAGGGCCCGCCCGAACTTGCTGCGACCTGGACTTGCCCTCAAAGATAACCCTGCTCCAGCTGCCACTACATTAGAGCCGGCGGCCACGTGACCGAGCCCTGGGGGACAGGGCGGCTGCAACCAATCGCAGAGCTCACAGCAGCCCCGCGGCTTCCCACGCTCCGGACCGTGGCGCCGAGTCCCAGAGGACTGAGGGCGTTCAGAGACTTCACACCCCTGTCCTGCCTACCACGGGCTGCTAAGCCACATGCTTGAAAGTTTGCGCTCACTTTGGGCGACACGTGACCAAATGCAGCGGGGTCTTCTCGGCCACCAGGCAACGGAGGAGGGGGGCATGGTCTCCGGGGGTGCAAGCAGGCAGCGTGGCCTCGGCCCCAGGTAACCAGCACTGGCCAGCGAGCCAGCTCCCTGAGTCCACCAAGTCTCCGACCCAGCCCTCTTAACAGGGCTGCCTGCCACCTGCCCAGCAAAGTTGTCTGGCCTGAAAGCGACAGCGGCCGCGCTCGGACCCCTCGGCACGGAGACTCGACGGCGTCACCCCGCCCTCGCCAACAAGCTGCGGCCGCACAGCAGCCCGCCACCGCTCTTTGATCCATTGTTTAGAGCCAAGGCCAATTACAGTCGTATCCTCGCAGGACTCGTCCCTCCCGAGGCGGCGTCCCCAGGAACGCGATACGCCAACTAACCTCCTGAAGTCAGCGTCCCACTCCCCTCCCCCGCCCCGCGCCTGGGAGACCCGAGCGGTTCGCCACAGCCGCAAGGAGGTGACCGGGGCCGCGGCTAAGCACCTCAGGAAGAGTCCGGTTCCAAGCCACACGCGCACGCTACGCCACGGCGGGCGCCGGGAGTCGCAGCCCCGGCGCGCAGGCTGCGCACTTCGCGAGCCTCCCGGTGCCGCCCAGCTGCCTCCCTCCGGACGTGCGCCGGCTCACGGCCGCGCCAGGACGCGGCTTGGGCTCGTAGACGCCCACCTCCCCACCGGGTCCGCGGGGCGCGCCCAGGACAGCCGCGCACCTCCGGGCCAGGCCCGGCTCGCAGCCACGCTAGGAACGCTCCGCCCGGCGGGGCAGCCAGAACCATTGTTCAAGGGCTCGGAAGCCCACGCTCCCGGGCCGCTGTCAAAGGTGCAGAGAAAAGCTGCGAAAAGGCGACTCCCGGGAACTGGGTCCGAGGGAATGGAGACGAGTTCAGGCTGGGGCTTCGGAACACCCCAGATCCCGCGGTCCCCAGGCCTGGCTCCCGTGGCCGCGGCGCTGACAGCTCAGAGGCGCCGCCAGGGTGGGGAGGGAAAGGAGTCGAGGAGCGCTGAGGAGAGGTGCCTCCGCCGCGGGGTGCGCAGCCGAGCCCCGGCCCCACACCAGCGCTCACGTCCGCGAGGGGCGCGTCTTCACTCACCAGTGCCCGGGGCGCCGCTCTCCCGGGGCGCCCAGCTCAGCGCGAGCAGCAGCCAGAGCGCCCAGCGCGCGGACGTGCCCATGGTGCCCGCCTGGATGGTGCCGCCGCCGCCCGCGCCGCACAACAAGTTACCAGCCCTTGGAGAAGGAGGAAGGGGGTGGGGGCGGGAGGGGGCAGGAGTTAGAAGGGGGAAAGGGAGCGGGGAAGAAGCGGGCACCCCCTCCCCTCAACTTGCACAATCCCCTCCCCACCAGCCAGCCCACCCACCCACCCTCCTCCCGGGCTGCAGCGGTGGTGCAAGCCGAGCCCGCGGGCAGAAAATAAAGCGAGCGCTGCAGAGAAGCGGAGCGGAGGGAAAGGGAGGGGAGGGGAGGGGAGGGCACAAGAGGAGGGGGAGGAGGGGGTGGGGAGCGCAGAGCGAGCGGAACAGAAGAGCGGAGCTGGCCGCGGAGCACCCACGCTGGCGGCGGCCGGAGCCGGGTGAGCGGCCGGGAGGGGGCAGCAGGGGGAGTGGTCAGCGGGGGGCGGGGGGCGCGGCGGCCTCGGCCCTCCTTCTCCAGGACGCACTCTTCGCACGCGCGGCAGGCCGCGGGATGCCTGCGCCGGGGCTTGCGAGTGTGTGTGCGAGTGTGAGCGCGCGCGCGTCAGTGGCCGTGGCCGTGGCCGCCGCCGCCATCCGGGCTGCTCCAGGGCCCCGGCTGCTCCGCGCGTCTGCCCAGGGCTCACGGGGCCCGGGGCGGCCGCTGGTTGGCTCGCGCGCCGCCCTGGCCGCCAATCCCCGACTCCTGTCCTAATTTCCTGAACCAGGGAACCTGCCGCCGCAGCCGTGCGCTCCCTACAGTCGGTACTGAACGCGCCCGGCAGCCGCCGACCGCAGACGCGGCGGGAGCAGTTAGCGCTGCTGCACCTCTGGCTGTTGCTGCCCTCGCCTCCGGCCAACGGGGCTTGCCGCTGGCTGGGGTGGGTGCAGCTTCCTGGGCCAACAAACGTCTTTGTGCCATCCTCTCCTGCGCCCCGCAGAGAGGCGGGTAGGTAGCATCTTCCTCGGGCCTCTCCAACCCGAAAGTGAAGAGCTGGTAGTCCGAACCTGCGGTGTTGGGCTCGGGATTCCCACTCAGTCGCGTGCTGAGATGCCATTTTGATGAAATTTAATGTGCCTCAAGGAGGGGTGCATGCGTGAGAGCGCGAGCGAGCTCGCGGTTGTGGCTTTTCCTCTGTAATAGAAGGAGACTAAAATAACCCAGTCTGGGATGAGGGGGAGGCAAATTGCGAGCACAGTTCTGCATTCTCTCATCACCGATTATAGTTAATTGCTAATTGCACAAAATGATAGTTTGAGGGCCTGTAATTAAAAGCTTAACCTTTTCTGGTGTGGGGGAGGGGACTCTTAGATTTGCTCTTCTGGATAGACTTTGTTACACTCAACTGCAAGCCTTAGAGAATGAAAAAGGAAGCAAAAGCAGCACTCCTAGGAATGAGTGGCTTTTGTTTCGTGCCTGACAGTACCTGAGCATGTAATTCGGGTTTGTGTACTTTAGTTTTCTTACGAGCTTTCCTCTGCTGAAGGGAATTGTCCACTGTAATCTGTTAAGCAGCTAACAGGAGCGGCAGGGTACACTCAGCTGTCTCACCTTTTAAAGTCATATATATATATATATAT